GAAGAGACGTTAAAGTTGTACCTTTGTCTAGAATTTTGTTTTATTTGGAATAGTCATTTTAAAGTTATTTGTGCAAAAATCTACCTTCAAATTAATAAAATTTATAATACTGCCCAGAGAAAGTTACAATTAAAATACCAACAAAAATGTGATTGTGTCATTGTCAAATTCGATGTCACATTTTGTTTACAAAAATTTGAAGGTACCAAATAAAGAAATGTTGTATAAACTAATTAAGATTTTAGCAACTTCTGAAAAAGTTACGATGGTTAAACGGCATTTTGCTGGAAATAGATGGAAATAGTATTCACGCTGTGTTAGATTTGTTCGCAGCTGAGTCTCCGGAAACCCTATACCAAATAAGTCAACAGTTTAAAGAAATACACTAGGCAGAAATTTGAAACTAAAGGCACGGCATTAAATACATGGAAGTGTGAAGACAAAAAATTGAACAGGAAGAAAACAACGACTTAAATATTTTTCATGTTGAAGAAAAGGAAAACATTGACTCCCGCTGTCTATTGGGATTACAGTAGGAAAAGACCACAGTATCTTTCGGCGAACGACTTCTTCCTGTGGAGAACACTCAAAAACCGTCTTTATGGGCATATTAAATACAGAAATTTAGATAAACTGAAAACGACATCTCTGTGGAATGCTAAAGATCCTTTCCCATAGACTTAAAATAAAATATAGACTGAGCATCTCATTCATAAATAGCTGGAACATGCGGTCAGACAATGTCTTATTATTGTTGTGTTATTGTTTTAGGTTATAACGAGTGCGACATGAGCGATAGATAGGTTGTCTCTGTCGTAACGGTCGTTCCCTGACGACTCTGACGAGAAACGCAACACTGTCTTTCGTTTCTCAAGTACAAATGAACTCTCCGTATCATAGCCGGGTAATTTTTTTATTTTAATGAAGCTATAATTAAATTAAAAATATATCGTATTTAAACTTTTTTATATTTTAAGACTTTTTATATTTTAAGATTTAGGAGAGGTTTTTTTAAATAAAAGTTTAGAAAAAACGTCTTAGAGTCCAAAAAGGATAAAAATAATAAAATACATGTTATAGAAGAAATTAAATAATCGAAATTACGTAATTTTTGAACATTTACAACCCCTAATATTAATCAAAACAGGATCTATTCTACAGATATAATAGAATCGGCGACAGGGAGAAAAAAAAAATTATAATTGTTGTAATTTTTTTTTCTGGTTAAGTGATGTCTTATTTATGTAAATTAGAGAAAACATAAATCTGTTCCATTAAAGCAAGGAAGGTGATAGGAAGTGGATAAAATAAAAACTACATTTATTTAACTCGGTACTGTCTTTATTATACCGGGTGCGTCCCAAAAGTGGCTCATCCCCATAATTTTTTTATTTTTTCAAATAAAAAAAAAACAAGATTTAGTATGCTAGTATATGATATACATTAGGATTGATTGACGCATTCAATTGTTTTTGGTCACTTCCTATTTCACCGGAAATGACTATAACTTTTAATTTTGAAATAGCACCCTCGGTATATTTCTACTTTATTCGATAGAAAATGACACTCTGAATAGAATGACATATCATATGTCAACTTTTGACATTTTCGCATATGGCTTAATTGTAATTGTAACACGCGATTCATAACGACAATTTGACTCGAAATACCAAGTGTTTGGTATCAATATATTCATAAAAAAATGCTTTTTTCAAATATGATAATGAGTCACCCGTGTTCAATTCTAAATCACTACAATACACCAAAACACTTTTACTTTTACACTGGACGCGCGTTTCGCTAACCATGTTAGCATCATCAGCAGATTATTATAAACTTAGTTTATAATCATCTGTTGATGATGCTAACATGGTTAGCGAAACGCGCGTCCAGTGTAAAAGTAAAAAGTTTTATTTTGCTGTGTAACACCAAAGGTTCCAACCTTCAACTGTATTCTTGTTCAATTTGAAAAAAATTACATATGATTAAAAATACGATTTGTACAGGGTGGGTCAAATTCGACGCTTTTAAATGGGAACACCCTTTTCTATAGGAGATAGACGAAAACTAATATCGGTGTCTGGAGCTCAATTTTTGTCAAAAACATGATGATGAAAACCGCACATCAATGTCTGTTACCGTTTCGGAGTTACGGGGTGTTTTTCAAAAATGTGCATTTTTAACAAATCGCTGTAACTTTTTTGCTATGGAAAATTTTGTATTTCTATGAAAACATTTCCAAAGCACCTTTTTACGTAGAATTTAATCGTTTAAGTATAATTTTTTTCAAATTAATAATTTAAGAGTTATCAACAGAAAAATTAATTTTTTATTTGGGACACCCTCTATATTTTTAATTAACTGTTAAGAATTTAAAATTACCTTTCCAAAAATATAGTACACTTGATATTTTGTTATAATCCCCTTCAAAATACAGAATTTTTAAAAGTTCGCCACTTTTAACTAGTAGGCTTTGGATCGACTCTCTAGTAGGCTTTCGATCAACTCGAAAACCCGCCTCTGAACGCTGAAGTTATCAGCAAATTTTTGCAGCCAATTTCAAGAATAATTGAATAGCTAATCAAAATCCCAACCGTTGGCAGTCGAGGCCGCCTGACTTAGTGCCCATGGATCTAATCCTATGGATATATTTGCTGAAGAATAAAGGTTCCTTATTCCGTATAATCTAGACAAGAATTAGAAATACTTAGCAGTTATGAGAGGGTATCTTTCACCCCCACCGAGTTAATGAATTCCGCGAGAAATGTTCAAAAACTGCCCCGTCTGTCCATAACAGAAGACGGTCGATATGTCGAACACCTGTAGCAAAATCTCATGTCTTGGTTTGCTATTTATTTTTATTGTTATTAGATATAGTTTAAATGTGTTGATGTTGGTTAAATATATTTTAAATTGTTATAAAATTCTGCATCTCTCATAACAAATATTATTTTCGTTTTAATTGATGCTCACAGCTTGAATTTTTTGCATTATAGCCGGTGCCGTTCAAAGCCTACTTATTTAAAGCGGGCAAATTTTTATATCTCGAAGAGGAATCGAGCAAAATATCAAGTGTTTTATATTTTTGGAAAGGTAATTTTAAATTCTTTTCAATAAACTAAAAATATACAGGGTGTCCCATATAAAAAATCAAATTTTTTTTTGATAATTCTTAAATTATTAATTTTAAAAAAATTATACTTAAACCATTAAATTCTACGTAAAAAGGTGCTTTGGAAATGTTTTCATAAAAATACAACATATTCCATAGCAAAAAAGTTACAGCGATATATTAAAAATGCATATTTTTGAAAGACACCCCGTAACTCCGAAACGGTAACAGATATCGATATGCGGGTTTCACCATCATGTTTTTGAGAAAAATTGAGCTCCAGACACCGATATTAGTTTTTGTCTATCTCCTATAGAAAAGGGTGTTTCCATTTAAAAGCGTCGAATATGACCCATCCTGTACATATTTTAACCGGCCTAGACAAGACACGAAACCTATTAGACGATCATAACTATTTTTCCAAGGCTTCTTGATTAAAACTTAATGTTTTTAACAACACCATGGCACCCTGGATTGAAATTTAATTTTTTTTTGTTTTTAAGCGACAATGTCAAAAGTTGACATGATATATCATTCTATTCAGAGTGTCTTTTTATATCGAATAAAGTAGCAATATACCGAGGGTGCCTTTAATAATCAAAAGATGTAATCATTTCCGGTGAAACAGGAAGAGACCAAAAACAATTGAATGCGTCAATCAATCCTAATTTATGTCATATGCCTACTAATATACAAATCTGTTTTTTATTTGAAAAAATAATAAATTATAGGGGTGAGCCACTTTTGAGACGAACCCGGTATATTAAAAAATATTGTTTCATAATGTAATATCATTTTAAAATTCTTGTATGTTATTTTAGATTCTGAATATAATTTTAGAATAAACCGGAATATATTTTTATTAAAAACATAATTAATTATTAACAGGGTTATAATAATTATGATTTTGCTGCAAAAACCTTTATATAAATGATTATGTAAGAGAAAAAATTCAGATTTTACATTTTACTAAAATATTATCTAAATAAGCGCCGTTCTACAACAACGCCACTGTGGTTAAATTGGGGTAATTGGGTAAATTGTGAGTTGCCTACCGGTCGAAAGTAAATTTGGCACTGGCGAACCATATTTTATAGTTCTTGAACAGAAAAAGTAAATAAAATAAACACTTAAGGACTGCAAGCTAAGAAAATGCGTTATTACAGCCGGGTAGATAGCGGCAACAAAGCTTTACCGCACACGTGCGACACGTACTGCAAGGTAATAAATGAATGAATAAGCGACCTCGCCTCTAATCGGTGTTGCCATATTGAAAAGAACTTATCCTTTTTAAATAGTATCCGACTTATAATTTAGTAGCTTAAGGACTATTTAATACATCTATGGAATATTAAAACCTACTTTATTAAAATGTAGTATTAATATCTCAATATATGTGTATAACAAGAAAAAAATATCGATAATATTAAAGACGTGACAACATAGGTTGGATGAGGAAGGCTCGGTCGACTGTACCCAGAAGTAAACATGTGTACAAAAAAGATTGTTTGACCGGATTTAGATGTAAATAGTGTAGTCTATATTTTATTTTAAGTCTATGTTCTCTCTTGAATAGTTTTGTATTGTGAGGCGTGCATTTTACAATCATTTGGAGTATTGTTTGGCTGTAAATGGGGGGTTATATAAACATTTTATTAATTAGTATATTTTAATAAAGTTCCTTTAGTTAAAAATATTTCTTTTATTTGTTAAATTATTGTGCATGAGCGAGGCCTGCGAGTGATCGAGTAATGAACAGCAATCAAGTAATACTCCGCGAATACTATTCTCATTTCAACTAATTCTTTTGTAGATGATCATTCCAATTCAGAAGAAAAATAAGCATTCTTTTCAAAAACAAATTCAAATAAAAATACAAGAGTATTATAAAGATGATTTTATTTACCTGCAAGCAATGCATAAAGCTGGTTTACAAATTCAATTGACACTGATGATCGTATAATATAACATAATCTTAATATAAATTAAAAAAATCTAAGAAAATACAATAATTATGGTTTTAAATCGTAGACTAATAAAATCACAATAATAACAACTTACAAATAGAGTTCAAAATTTCAGAGCACCATAATATTCTCTTCAATACAGACATACACAAAAATAATTTTATATTTACAAAGGTCGGTGTCTAAAAACAATTAAAACTAGAAGACGAATCGTTGTAATAAAACAATTTCAATTTGCGCGAAACTATACATTTAAAATTATATTAAATACTTGGTAGGAAGATGTTAATCGGCAACCAGTCGATCAGCGAATGTAGAGAGAGATTTCTTTGAATTTAGTCACATATTTTGTTTGTTCTATCCAAAAAGTGTAATAAAATTAAGTCAATCGTTGTCGACACAGTTGCCAAGATTAGAATTACATTAACTACATAAAATGCACAAAAATATAACAGCCCTTATTGTTTTTTTAGTATTTTAAAATTAAGTCAGCAACTATTTGACGTTTTTATGACTGACTGTTATCGGCTATCGACCATCTTATTCGTTTTTCTTAAACGGTAAGAGGCTCAGCCTTAATGTTACTAAAAATAGAGACTGAAATACTTAGCAGCCTCAAGTAACAAATTAAAAAACCTTTGCGAGGTAATTCCTACAATGACTGAAATAGAAAAAAGTGAAAAATATATCATCTACCTTATACGATTCTCTCGGACAGGACAAAAAGTTGTATAAATAAATTTAAAAGAAGAAACGTCACGTGGTATGTAAATATTTTTCGTTTAAGTTAACTACAAAAGAATTTTGTACCTATATTAAGTTTACATTTTCTAATAATTATTCAATGATCACATCTATGTCTTCACGAAAACTTCGAACCTACTACTACATAAACATTACAGGTTCCCATTAAAATCTATAAATAAAATCAGTCCGTGATGATCAAAGTTTCTCTTAAGGCACCCAGTTGCTCCTCGCCCAGCTTGATTTTATCGTTGATCTCCTTCGAGTCCATGATTAGTTTGGCCCTCATGTTAATGAAGTGATCGTAATCAGAATATTCCTCCGAGTTTAGATATTTATATAAAATATTAGAGACGTTTACGCTTCGCTTATCTATGCATTCTTTCAGTTTCTTGGCTTCTTCCAGCTGGTCTTGAAGCTTGTCCCGTTTAGATTCCAAGATCCTCTGTAAAATAAAAACAATTTTAAGTTCATATCCTACGTAGAGGTAAATTATTCTAAACTTACCCTTTCTGGATGATCCTCTGCCATCGTCATCAATGCATTTTCTGCTCTTGCCAATCGTCCACTCAAACCTAGTAAGAGACTGGTGATTTTTCCAACTTCTTCGATATGCAGTCTAAACTTGGAAACTTCGTGAGGTCTGGCAACTCTATTGATGTAGTTTTCCACGTTGATACCCAGCTCATCGTTGATTTTGCATTCCTCCGAGACCAGGAGTGCTTCGCTTCGAAGGACTTGCAACTTTTTATCCAGGCGGTTCACTAGTTCATCCTGAAAGGAACATTTTCATTAGCAAAATATTATTTTGCTTTGGTAGCTGGTAGGGATTGCAAATTTACCGGTCAACAGTAATTTTAAACATGGAAAACCTGGTTTACCTAAATTTACCGTTTTTTCTTACTAGAATCAGCGGAAAAAAATATAAAAACAACCTTTATCAAATTAAAACAGTATTTTCAACCCAGTTAACCCAGATTAAAAATAAAAAACAAACAACCAATCACGGCGCGTCTCGATCAATTTCAGGAAACGTGGGAACTAATTTTTATAACACGGGCTTATATTTATCGAACTATTTTGTGAAATAGCACGAGGCAATCAAGGTCAAACGTTGTGGTGGCTTCAGAAAAATAAGTAAACATGGAAAAACTGGATTAAAAACAGATACCGATGGTAAATTAAATTGGCTATACCTCGAATGTTACACAAGAATATTTAGTTTTAATCATTGTCTAATATTATTAATTACAATATAATAAAAAAAATATAAAACAGTGACTAACTAGCGGTCTACCATTTATCGGCTTGTAATTCACGGTATTGTGCCTCATGAACAAAATATCAAATTATTTAAAAAAATCGTCTAGTTATTTATTATTTCTGGTTATGGTAAAGTAACATTTATACTGTAATCTATAGCAAAGTTTAGTTACTGGTTTTCTTTTTCTAGTTTTAATTGTCTAAATCCCTGCATAATAAATACTAGTTGAATGGATTTATATGAAGCCATGCTGGGTGCTAATAAAAAGTCTCGTTTACAGATTTCTCTTAAGAACAATAAAAGAACAAAATAAAATTACACTAAATCACCACAATACACCAAAACACTTTTACTTTTACACTGGACGCGCGTTTCGCTAACCATGTTAGCATCATCAGCAGATGATTATAAACTGATAGTCTCAACGTGTCAACAATGATTATAAACTGATAGTCTCAACATGTTTTGGTGTATTGTGGTGATTTAGTGTAATTTTATTTTGCTGTGTAACACCAAAGGTTCCAACCCTCAACTGTAATAAAAGAACATTGCTTTTAAATAATGTCCGTGGACCATACTTTTGTTGACATCGAGTCAATTAATAATTTTCCCCAGCGGATATATTGATAATGTTACCAGTATTACTCATCAAGCATGATGAGTACATGATTGAGTATCCGTATTACTCATCAAGCAATACTACCAGGGGTGTAGGGGGAAAAACAGACAACCGGCCCAAATCCACAAAAACAAAATGACCATAACGAAGAAACATATTTTATTTATTAATACAAGGTGTCCCAGAAATAAGTGCAAGTATTTTAACTGGTAGTATAGTTGAACCCCAGAAACACGCCAACAGGTTTTTTTCGCAAAAAAAAACTTTTGAAAATTCGGAAAAATGTTTTGGATTTTTTTTTAAATTTTTAGTTAAAAAACATAATTTCTTGATAATATGGCAACATAGGTAGTAGATTAAATTTACAAGAAAGAAAATCCAGAAAAGATCCAGTGGTTCTCAAAATTTGAGCAAAAATTATTTTTTTGGAAATTTTCAAGTTAAAATAACTGCGTTATTTTGGACTTATTTGAAAAACGATGAAGAGAAAATATGTTTCATTTATCGAGATCTACCGCTCCTTAAAATAATTGCACATGATTATTAAAATTATGATGAACAACAACAGATGATGTTGAATCAACAACAGATGATTATTAAAATTATAAGTGTCCCAGAGAAAGACATTTTACAATAGTTATTTTACAAATTGGTGTTTATGTTTAAAAGCAACTGACGATTATAGGTACCGATGAAAATTGATCAGTTAGTTATGGAGTCACTAAAGATCTTACGTCACTTTAGTCAGAAGATTAACCATTTAATTTTTGCTAATGCAATCTTTCTTGCTCTGATCCAATTTTTCAGCTCTGATCGGGACCGGCCCACGGCCCATTTTTCCACCGACCCACCGGGAATTTTCCCGTTTTCTCATATGGCCCATCCACCCCTGAATACTACTCTTATATTAATCAATTAAGGCCGTAAACAAACATATCATATACAATTTTATATACTAATTCATTATAATAAAATTAAATCATAAAAATATTGTAATTATATTCCTGCAGTTTAAGCTCGAGTTTAAGTGAAAAGTGTTGGTCCTAAATATCTACTATACATAAAAAAACGCGTGTTCAAATATTAATTCTGTGGAATATATATCAATATATCATAAAACAAGATGTAATTAACGAAATACCATCATAACAACAGCTATTTTAGAAACGTCTAGGTTTACTTGTTTCACTGAGATTTATGAAAAAAAATCCTTTGCCTCCGGTACAGATACCGCCACGCTTAGGAAATAGCTCAAAACAAAACAAAATTGAACAAGGCAACAGAAAACGCCAAAAAAAACTCGCCCTCCTCACGAGTAGTTTCCAGGAGCTTTTAATAATCGAAAGTAGATCGAGGCAAACCGAAGTGGGTCAAGACAACTGGAAATAAATCGAAATGCGTCAAAGTTGGGCGACGAAATGCGACCTTGACATGTTTCGAAGAGTTTCTCGCATAGTGTACACGCTATTTTAGACCTTCTGAAGATATCAAAATATTTACTTTTTTATTTTATTTTTTAGTATTTTCACAATTTATACTTCCTAACACTTTTAGAAATATTTTATAACAAATTTTTCGTATACTCGCTGTTTAAACCCGGGTATTTCTATATGCCGGTTGTTGATGATATTCTCCGATGGTGGCAGCACCGGCGGAGAATGCACCAAGCCAAAGAATATTATAGTTAACCAAGCCTATTGCAATCCTAACAAATGTTCGAAATAAAGGCTTCGAACATTTTCTGCCTTCTAGACTAGTGTATATTTATTTTTTTAATGACTACCATGAAATACTGGTATGTGAAGACGATTTACCAGTAATATTTTACCGCCGTCTTAGGAAATTTAACCGGTAAATCGATAAACCGATAATGCAATCCCTGGTAGCGTTCTTCTTACCTTCTTTTGAGTTAAATCTTTGGTATCCTTAACGACGTAGCACTGGTTCATGTCCTGACTGTACCTCGTTAAAAATTTAGCTTTTGGTTCCGAGGTGGTGAAGTAAACTGACGAACATGATAATGGACTTGTAGGTTCGACTAAAGAGGAGCTGTTGCCAGGTAAACTGTAAGAAACAAAAACAGATATACGTAAGTAATGTACTTGGTAACTAAAGCGACAAGTAACTTACCTTAATTTGCTAACTGATAACTTCGGTGAGGAAGGTGATGTATTTGCAGGTGGGGGACTACTGCTCGGAGTGGAATTCCTACTTCGGAAAGGAGAATTTGCCGGTCTAGGTCTTAGGGTCACGTCCACTCTGAAAAGACCTTGAACGTAGTCTGTAGGTTTTTTGTGATCAGGTCCTGGTACTGAAAAAGATATCGTTGCTTAGATAAAAGAAGAAAGCGAAAAGTAAATATAAAATATTATGTATTTTTCTTTATACGTTATCGAGCTCAAGTTGTATACGTTCAATTGAGCTGAAGTTGTGGAGAATCCTTTTAACGTTAAGGACAAGGGACAAACATGTTTTCCCAATCTTGATAAATATATTACGCAATTGGTAATAATGAGACAGTAATAAGTAACTTAACGTTCTTTGACATATTTTAATAAATTAATTATAACGCCACATTTCGCTTGTAATTAGAGTGGTAGTTATTCTGTGATACCTATGGATTTATTAATTCTGATTTGAACTTTATCAGTTGAGAATGATTTATAAGACAGTAACTATTTAGCCTCTGTTGTTTTTATTTGTATTACTTCCGTTATGTTATAAATTAATTATTTTTTTACGTTTCATTTATTTATTTTAAAATTTTATTGCGTTTTTATGTTAACAGATTTTTTAACTTTTGTATTGACTGAGGATGAAAATTAACACTTATCTCATCTTTAACAATAATTTTAATGTTTTGTCTCTTGCGAAATTTCATCTTTTACAGAAGATATATAAAAATAATTAAATTTATCCTATATTCTACGGCATATTCTACCGATAAATATAGGTAAAAAAGTCCGTACAAATGTTCTAAGTTGCTTCGTTTCGAAGCTACAGGGTGTAGAAGTTTCATTTTTATTTCGAAATTTTCCAAATGATTCCTGAATTAACGTCAATATTTGGTTGAAAATTGGTGCCTGGGTATTTATTTTGAATAAATTTGATATTGATGTCAATATGACTCCAACTTGTCTCTACACGCCATCTTGTCTCTACAACGCCATCTACATATTTTTTAAGTGTTTTGAAGAGTAATAACTTTTCGTCCGTACCTGTATTATACTACTGAGTGGGAAATATACAATTCCGTCGATATTTAGCATTAGCCGTTATGAGCAACCGTTTTCAAGATATTTGGAATTGAATTTATCAATACATATCATCATTGACAAAAAATAAACATGCTGACTAGGTAGGTTTAGGTTTTTGTTAGAAATGATACAAACATAATAAAAAGATACAAATTTTTAAAATAAAACTTTCGTAATGATATAAATTTTACAATAAAAAGTATGGAACTGATACGGAACGGAAGCTTTACGTATAGCGTCAATATAATAAAAATACGGAACGGATATGGAATGGATATGGAATGGATATGGAATGGATATGGAATGGATATGGAATGGATATGGAATGGATATGGAATGGATATGGAATGGATATGGAATGGATATGGAATGGATATGGAATGGATATGGAATGGATATGGAATGGAAACGGAAGGTATAGTGAGAATCAACCTTTATTATTTCATTCTAATAACTATCTAGTAAACATGTTCAATTTTTGCCAATAATGTCTTACCAAGAGACCCTTTTATGTAAAAAACGGCAAAAATGTATATTTACTCACTCGATAGTATAATACAGGTTTGGCTGAAAAGATATTACTTTCAAAATAGTTCAAAAACATGTAGGTGTCGCCTCTTACATGTAGGAGTCATATTGACCTCGAAATCAAATTTCTTATGTCAAAAACGCCCAATTTTCAACCAAATATGGACGTTAGTTCAGAAATTAGTTTAGTAAATTTCTCCACCCTGTAGCTCCGAAACGAAGAAGTTTAGGACATAAACTTATACAAACTTTTTTACTTATTTTTATCTGCAGAAAATCGGACTACCCAGTATGAATTACACGCTTTAGTCCAATACCATCCGAAAGTTAAATAAATTTACGAAATTTACTGCTTTTAAAAGAATTGACACTGAAATTATGAAAATATTCTATTGGATTTTAGTTTCCTATTTGACATAAAATCAAAATTAATGTAACTAGATTATACGTTCGTAGAATTATTAAACCATAGTATATTTTCCTTTATAAATGAAAGTTTTGTATCTATGCATACCTAAAAGATCTTTCAGTCTATCCGATGTAGGCAGATGATTAACGAAGTCCTCTGATAATTTCTCGCACTCGATCTCTTCCTGCAACTTCTTCCTCGTGGGAAGCGGCGTGGGAGGCAACTCCTCCTTTTCCGTCTGCGACGAAGCGTCACTAGTCGACGTATTCACCCTTAAAACTACTTCAGTTCTTTGGATCATTTGCAGTCCCTCGATAACCTTCGGGTAATCGTCGCTCTTCTTCGGCGAAGGCGTTCGAGGTGGCGGAGATTCCGGAACCGTTGGCGAATATTTGGGAGGTGTCGAGGACAAAGACGACGGAGAGTTCTGAGTTGATTTCGTCGAAATCTGAAGTGGGGAGCTTAGCGACGAAAACGAGGCACTTGGTGGTGAAATTCGAAGTGGTGAAAGCTTGATAGGAGAGCTGGCAGGTGATAGACTTGCCTTGATATGCGGGGGATCTCTAGGGAGGGACTGGGACGAAGATATCGTCGATGTAGACGTTGTACTTGATGGTTTAGACGTTGGGGTGGACGTGACAGGTGGTGAAGATCTGAACGATATCGGTGAAGAATTTATCGAAGAAACAATAAACGGTGGGGAAGAAAGATTCGTTGTACGTAGAGGTGCAAAAGGAGAACTCCTCGAAGGACTTTTAGAAGGCGAAGACGGAGGTGACTTAATAGGAGATTTCTTAATTACACCTTCCCCGTTCATCGTAGATAAACTAAGATGAGTGGGCCGTGTGCTATGATGCTGTGGAGATCTGGGAATCATCTTCGCATTGACCGGAAGTACATCGGGTAAAGCTAAGTTTGGTTTCTTGGGTATCTCGCCCTTTGATTCGCATTTCACGTCCTTGAAACTTCGATTGTTTTTGTTCTCGCTCATGGAGGACTTCCGTATTACGTTGGTAGTCTTCATCGAGTCCCTGCTTTGACGAATCAACGGCCAGACGGTTTCTCGGCTGTTGGTTTTCTGTGACTCGGTAATCACCTCGGTGGGGAGGGCGTGACCGTTGGGTGACATGGTACGTTTGTAGCTGCCTGTTTCGGAGTCGGAAACTATCAGCTCACGGTCACGACGGGAAGCCAAGTATGAAGCTTTGGATTGACTCCTGAAACAAAAGATAAAATTAGTAATTAAAATAAATAAATTAGTATTTAATTCATAAAAAAAATTATAGGGTTAGGTGGTGTAAACAATTTTCAAAACTTTTAGTTTTTTCCTTAGTTACAAACATTTAAATACAAAAAGTATTTCTTCTTTAAAAAACATTTGGTGGTAACCAAACTACATATTTCAAAAGTAGATGTACCGGGTGCCACTTTTGAGACGTGGCTCACCCCTGTAACTTTTTTATTTTTTTTTCAGATAAAGAAACGAGATTTGGTATGTTAATAAATTATTATATTGATACGTATTGATTGACGTATTCAATTGTTTTTGGTCACTTCCTGTTTCACAGGAAATGACTACAACTTTTGATTTTTAAATGGCACACAGTATATTTTTACTTTATTCGATAGAAAATAATACTCTGAATAGAATGACATATCACATGCCATCTTTTGACATTTTCGTGACATGGCTGTGTTAAAAACACTAACTTTTAATCAATGTCCCTTTGAAAAATAGATTTGATCATCTAATGTTTTTAGTGTTTTGTCCTGGCCGGTTAAAACATGCCCAAATCGTTATTTTAATCATATCTCAATTTTTCAAAATGGAACAAGGCCGATTCATTAGCATATTTGGAAAAAGGATTTTTTACGGTTAGTTTAGTATCACACACTTGGTATTTCTAGTAAAATTGTCGTTATGAACTGCATGTTACAATTTCAAATAAACCATATGCGAAAATTTCAAAAGTTGACATATTTGTCATTTTATTGTCATTCTATTCGGAGTGTCAATTTCTATCGAATAAAGTAAAAAAAAAAAAACAAGAGTGCCATTTAAAAATCAAAAGTTGTAGTTATTTCCGGTGAAACAGGAAGTGACCGAAAACAATTGAATACGTCAATCAATTTTAATTTATGTCAAATACTAATATACCAAATCTCGCTTTTTATCTAAAAAAATAAAAAGTTATAGGGGTGAGCCACTTTTGAGACGCGCCCAGTATACCAAAAGTACCCCTACAAATGCCAGTATAAAGAAAAGTGTGTCTCATATTTAACCCATAAAAAGTCTAACAATGAGACATGCTTGGTTAAATATGAGACAGTCACAAAACGCACTTTAAAGGCCCTGTTATCGTTTATATAAATATTGCTGAATATTATATATAATATAATTTATAATATTGTTGAATTAAAGATGAGACTAGAAGATAGACATTAGACATAGAAATATATTTTTTTATCAGTAGAACTGAAATAAAAGAAATCTAAGAACAGCTACCTATAATTCAAATCAAAATAGAGTAAAACTACATCGTCGCAAAACAGTTATAAACTAAAGGTGTAAAACAATTATATTAAATTAAAAATGAATAAAAGTATGCAGTTAGCAAGTGACATTAAAATATTAATAATTTCACTTAACGAGTTGAACAAAAAAAAACACAAATTAACGAACTAAATATACCTGAAAATCTATTGAAAGAGCAGTCCTAGAAGTCTTTGCATCTACCTTGCAAATTTGATGATGGTAATTTTAAAAATGGTTTTCTTTAAAACATTATTTATCTCAGTAACTACAGACTGCGGATATTAAAGTTGTTCTCCGCTGCTGACTAATTTTGAAGCCCTTTTAAGATACTTTTCTGTATACTTATTTGGTTTCTTTACATTTTTTTTGTTATATTTGAGTTGTTATTAAAATTCAAGAAGAACGAAATAGATGATGTACAACTCTATCTTTGAATCTGTACCTACGGATCGGAGACGTGGGAACCCACAAGGAGAAACAAAGATAGATTACTTGCATTTGAAATGGACTATTGGAGGCATAGCAACAGAACATCTCGCCTAGAACACGTAAGAAATGTTTGTATAATGATACATACATACACTGTGTCAATTTTAAAACTTCCCACCCTTAATATCTTTCTTGCAGTTAAAAATATGAAAAATTGGAAAGACACGTCAATTTTATTTGTAAGGGGGACATTTTAAATGAATATTTTAGCTTTTTTTTCAGCCCTCTAGGAGGGGTAGATGTCACCCTTAGAATCTTAAATGGGAATGGGGGTCAAGTGGCACATCGTTTTAAAGGGCTTTTAAAAAGTTTAATTCTCTTTTCAGTGGTATCCTACTTTGGTGCTTTTTGTCCAGAGGTTTCCGAATAATAGCGTTTCAAAGTTACAGATATGAATACCAGCAAGAACATGACAGGATGATGTACAGGAAGCCATGCTTGAAAGACAAAACGATACAATGGATTTGTAATTTCAGTTTTTCCATGATTCATCAAACAAAAATTAAAAAAATTATGGCGATGATCTGTTAACATTTATTGCTAAAAGTTCTTAACAAATAAACGTACTACTACTAAAGTTTTTAGTAATTTTATTTGAAGTAAAGTAACATCTATAGTCACAGCACGGCATATAAATCACACGGCAGGCCAACTCGCTTTGGCGGGAACGCTACGCGCATATCCTTGCGCACGCCGCCATTATGAGTGCCAGCAACAGAAATTAACCAGTGTCGTAGTCTTTGTCATCGACATCATACAGTTACGGCAGCTTTGAGTCAGTAGCGTGCGGCTTAATTTATTTCATTCTTTTCTTGAGTGATATATTTTGTTTTTTTATTTTTCTTTATTGTGTGATATATTTGGTTTTTGTAGTTTAGTAGTACAATGGAAGTCCGAAATTCTTTTAGTTTTAATACTCAATCATTGCCTACCTCAAAGTAATTTTTATTATTAGGTATCCTGCAAAATGACAAACAAGATTCATTTCTAAATTACTGTTTTTCTGATTGTCCGTAACTATTTATAATATTTATGGATAGCTCATGACAATTCAGAGAGAAAAGAACAGAGGTCTCGTTGTTTTTTATAATAAGGTCTGCCGTTTTTAATAAGATGTTTGCCAGATTATTTTGGCAATTTTCAGTACCCGTGTGTAATATTCGGACACAAAGTTTTTTAAATGTTCTTCTAAACTGGATGAATTTATCCTGGATGGGAATAATAATAGGTTTACAAAATATTGGAATTACAAGAATTACAGGAATTACAAGATAAAGTTGTCGTACCAGATTTTTATGAGTGCAACTGTACACTCAAATCTCGCGAAAAGCTTTTATATAATATAAAATTCTGTAATGACGTGATAAGTTCATAATAAAAGTTTTAAAGAAAAACTTAATTTTTTTCTTTTTAATGTATTTTTTTTATTTTTTTTTCTTAAATTTATTTTTTACTTTTTAGATATGCTGGTTTCTCAGTGCCACACACTTAAACTCAATTCTTAAAACTCTAACTTAAAAAAAAACGACAGCTGTCAAATTTGACAGTTCAAATGTGAGACAAATAAAATGAAAACCGACTATGGGGTAGGGAGCATCCAATATATCGATTTTTATCAAAATCGGACAACTTTGAGATTTTTTTGACAGCTGTCAAATTTGACAGCTCAATTTTTTTTCTTTCATTTTAATCCATGGCCATCCTATATATAGGTTTTTATCAAAATCGGACAACTTTGAAATTTTTTTGACACCTGTCAAATTTGACAGCTCAATTTTTTTCTTTCATTTTAGCCCATGACCATCCTATATATCGATTTTTATGAAAATCGGACAGCTTTGAAATTTTTTTGACAGCTGTCAAAAATTCGAGTCATGCCTTGCTTTGCTTTTTAGAGTCTCAAATACACTAAGATTTTCTAAGCCAGGTTTGATATCGATGTCATATATTCATTTTCTTAGTGTCTCTGGGTCTCTGGACGTGGAAGGCAAAATAAATTTGTCAAGAGCGTCTTGTATATTTTTGGGCGAGAAAAGTATATCGCCAGACATTTATATTTAAATTCATCAGTTTCTTCCTTTAGCTGATTTGTTAATTAGCGAAATTTGAATATTAACAGAATTTGCTACGTCCATTGATGGACATAATTTGTACGTAGCCTCTTTATATTGCTCAACAGATATTTTATTGGGTATTTCTTTCATTCTTGTTTGTAACTCCTGGCACTCCTGGCATGTTTTTTAATTTTAATTCTCTATTCTCTACAGTTAAATGTTTAATTGATTTTATTTATTAGTTTAGATAAAAGTATTGTGTAAATAAAATTCAGTTTCAGTCAATTACAGTATATTTTTAATACGACCCTGTCTATCAATATTTTATTTTCTGGGAAATTTTTTGATACGTTTTAATCCGGCCCTGACTCGGCACCCATAATGGTGTTTTCAAGGTCAAATTTTATAGAAATTTTAAACAATGGAATTTGGGCAGAGTTAGCCTGCCGTGTGATTTATATGCCGTGGTCACTAGGGCATTCAATCCCGAAAGAAATTTTCAATCCCGGGATTTCGGGATTATAATTTTTCGATCCCGGGATCCCGGGATTGGTCCCGGGATTCACGAAAAAATTAATTACGTTGGAATTATATTATATTTTCTTTCTTTACAAAATTTTATTGAACAAAAAAAACATTAACATAAATTAAACGTCATCCCCATTACAAAACAACATAACATATAAGTTTATTTAACAAAAAAAAAACATAAAAGGAACTAAAATATACATTTTTTATTTAATTTACATAACCAATCGAATACAGCATAACACAGGATTACTAAGAGATACTAAAATAACAACTTATGCAGTAACAAAGATGAGGATCTAAACTTGGTATTTTTGGTTTTTGAAAAAAATTCTTTAAAAAAACATGCCGATCAAGAGTATTATCACTCAAACTAGATCTTCATCTCTTCAAACTTGATCAAACATTCAGGGTTGTTTATAAGCGCATATTGTACTATCATGAAAGACTTGTGTACGATTTAAATTAAGGAAAAAATGTAATGTTGAATCCCGAAAATCCCGGGATTAAAGAAGAGACAATCCCGGGATTTCGGGATTGAAAAAATGTCCGGGATCCCGGGATCCCGGGATTGAACGCCCTAGTGGTCACAGTGTACATTTTTTAACAT